AAAAAAAAAAAAGTGCGGGCCCCCCTTAAGCCCAAAACGCAAAAAAACCTACCGAGCAAAACGCTTAAAGCATCTCTTACAGCCCTAAAGTAATCCAAATCCCTGAAACCCCTAAACCCTAAACCCCCGAAACTGCCGAATCCTTTCTGATTGAGTCTGGGCCTGCGTTGGCTCCCATGGTCATCTCAGGCTCGAAACGGATGGCACCGTTGGCCCCTCCTGTTTAGGTCTTTAGGGCGTTAGGATTTCGAAGGGGGTAGTGTTTAGGGTTTAGTGTTTAGGAGTCAAAGGCTTTACGGCCTTGGGGTTTCGTGACGTGCCCAAAACCTCTTGACATGTCCGCAGTTTGGTGGCTCTGGTGGGGGCTTAGGGTGACGAGTTGGGGCCAACAGCCTGAACCCGGATACTAGATCCCAGCAAAACTGCAAACCCAAAGCTCCAAAAACAACCGAAACGCCACAAACAAACCAAGCCATCAATCACAAGAGAAGGTTTCGATCCTCGCTGAGGGAACTCCGTAATGCGCTGGTCCTGAGACACAAGTATGTTGCTGGAGTTGCTCTAGGCATAGAGTTTTGAAGATTCATGCACTATGATTCGGTTTAAAGAGCTACTGCTAGCGATCTCACGCCGCTGCCAGAGATCTGAGAAACAGCTGCACATGAACAAAAAGTGTTGTTATTATAGGCCCTGCAAACATTTGCCATCTGTTTCGGGCTTCTGCGGTCGCGAGTACTGGGCTCTATGGCTCTGTCTGCTTTGAGCTTGGGTGTTAATGCGCTTCCGTTTGCCCCATAGCACCTTGCATCCTACAGGCTAACATAAGGGCCTTAATAATTAGAATAGGGTGTTGGGGCCCGCTATACTAGAATCATAATAAGGAACCTCCAAAATAATATAGGCAATTATTCAGGCCCCTACATTATGCCCTGAACTCCTCGACCCCAAACAAGCAGTACACCTGCCGAGAACCGGCCCTAAACCCTAAACCCTAAACCCCGAACCCTAAACCCTAAACCCTAAACCTAAAACCGTAAA